CCTGCGTGTAGGTAAGTGCACCTGTAGGAGGAAGTGCTGACAGGCCTGGTAAACATGCTATGGCACATGCACAACAGTTACTTCCCCTTAAGCCAACCTGAAAGCTGCCTGACTGGGGAGAAACAGCTGACGCAAGAACACGTGATGAGAGAGACCACTGAGAAAGAGACAGCACAGCACGGAGCAGCCGAGGGACCAATGGGACACCGGGAGGGGGTGTACAGGCATGCCCCATATCCGCAGTAAACGAGTCTGCTTTCCCGCTTGCCCGCCTCCCAGAGTCTGTGTTGTTGACTTTGCACCTTCTTACCTCCATGCCCAAGGGGCTCAGGAGAGGGCGGCGGCAACATGCACCTGTGTTGTGTAATGCCCACAGAGGACAGAAGAGGCTGTAGGATCCCCTGGAACTGAGTTAAGGACAGTTGTTAGCTGCTATGTGGGTGCTGGGATTCAAACCCGGGTCTTCTGCAAGAACAACCAGTGTTCTTAACCGCTGAGCCACCTCTCCAGCCCCTCAATAATGGTTTCTTAGTTTACTATTTTTTTGACAAGGTCTCCTGTAGGCCCCAGGTAGCCTAGAACTTACTATGTAGACCAGCCTGGTCTCAATCTCACAGAGATCCACCTGCCTCTGCCTCCTGAGAACTGGGATTAAAGGTGTGTACCATCGCACCAGGCCTTAGTTTAGTTTTGATCAGTAATCATTTACCACAGCGTCTCACTGTTTCAAGGAACTTCAGGATTCAGTGTGTAGCCCCAACACTGGGTCCTTTGTAACACATAAGCACACAAATGTGCACAAAGACATTCATACATGCACATATGTGCAGGCACACACACATATATGCATGTAGACACAGAGCCTTGCATCTTCTGTTGGCCTAGAATGATGAAGCCACCCATCATTTGATTTGTAACTAGAGAAAGCTTCCTGTTGTTCCTCTCAGGGGAAATGGAGGGGCCTTAGCTCTGGATCAAGCAGCTTTGGTTTCCCCAGACATGTGGTCCCACCTCAGTCCTCAGTCGCCCTGGCTTGTCCCGCTACAGTATGGAGGAGCCAGAGGCTCTCTGGGTCTCCTACTATCCCAGGGGTAAAGGTGACCCATTCTGCTCTCTGGCCTCATCCCACGAAGCACCTGCTGAATTAGTTTATAACATGTTATGAAATAATCGTAAGCCAGGGCTCTGCTTATCATGAAGGTGGTCACCATGCCCCAATTCTTCAGCGTCTACGATTTGTCACAGTGAAACTAAGGAGGATTTTGTGGTTAGGACTCTGATAGGGGTTCACTCCCCAGCAGCTCCCCACCTCCTGGCTGTGCCCTAACATTTGAACAATGGACCCAGAAAGCCCATAAGGGCGCTGAGTGTGGAAGCTCAGCCCTTAATCTCGGCACCTGGGAAGCTGAGGCAGGAGCACTGCTGTGAGTTTGAGGCCAGCTTTGTCTACATAGGGAGTTCCGGGCTAGCCTGTGCTACAGAAAGGAAAAAACAAACAAAAATAAAAAAAACCCACCACTCCATGGTCACTAATTCATGGTGTGAATCAGTTGAAATGAAGCAGTTTTTCTGTTGGGAATAATAAATTTTCATCAGCCTTGTTCACAAGGCATCAGGATTGTTGCCCTTGGCAACGTGGAGTGACATGGTCAGTGGAATAGGTCAGAGGTCACATATTCATCCTCAGCTGTTCCTGCCTAGGGAATGTCTGCCTACCCTCTGTAGATTCAGATTCTCTGTCTGATGCCTTCCATCTATCACTGGAAGAAATCTCTGTCCTTGCTCAGCTGTTAAATGATTGTTCTCCCTTCTGCTTTGTCACACTCCCCAGGTGCAAGCTGTCTCAGTTGGCCTGAAGAAGAGCTGCACCTGTTCGCAGATGGCTCACCAAGTCTGGACAGTGGGTTGTTTTGGAGTTCTTGCCAGGGCTGGCTCCTTGGGTCTGCAGTTCCTCTGAGGGAGAGACTTACAGTCCTGAATATTTCCTAAGCTGACCTTTCACAGAGGCTGTGTGGCCTGGGGTGGTTACAGCCCACACAGCATGCCTGCCTAAGCAGGCTTGAGCTACAGGCCTCTCTTAGCTCCATCTCTGCTTCCCCTCAAGCTGCCTTGTCATATTTCTCCAGATCCCCCTTGACTCACTGCTTGTGATCTGCTCCCTGATCTTGAGGTGTCCTGGTGGCTCTGGACCCCATGACCCACCTGGCTCATTTTGTGCCTGGGGACTGGAATATGAGCAGTCAGCAGTGCTCAAGGGAAGAAACACAGTGAGGCCTAAATAGTAGAAGGCTTCACTGGAGCTACTGTTGGAAACACTCTCAGCTTTCCTATCTGTCCCCAGTCACCCCCTGGCCTCAGAGAGCTCATTCCCCCAAGTGTCTTGGCTCAGTGAGACTTTCCTGATCTCTTAACTGTCTTTCCCCTCTTTGGGACTCTTGAAATCAAACACTTTTCTTTTCCTAGAAATGCTTGTATTACCCAGAAGCACACAGAGAAGTTTCACTTTTGCTTTCTATAAATGCATGTTCTACCAATCAGCCAGTTTCCACCTGCTGAAGAGGCTGTGGAAGGTCTTTCCTTCTTCCTTCACACTGAGGCACATAGCTCTAGACTTCACATAGGCTTCCCTTACCATTTGTGATCTTTGCTGCTTTCCTGGGGAGGGCAGATCTGTGCAGTTGTCTGCTGTGCCCTGCGCTACAGGGAGCAACAGGTCTGGCATTCTCTGCTCCTTCAGTGGAAACAGGATCTGATCTTTGACTCCAGAAATCTCTTGGTATGTGGTAAGCAAGACAACTCTACCTGCAGAGACCTGGGTTACTTTGTGCTCGGAGGGCTGAGGGCAGAGCTGGCTGGGAGAAGCAGCAAGCAACATCATCATCTTTTCACAAAAGGGAATCATGTCTGAAGCTGCCTTTTGGTGGCTGTGCTGCTGAGAAAATTGTGAGAAAGTTTGGAGTAAGCTGAATGTTTATGGGGTGACTTCCATAGGAAACTATGTAGGTTTCCATGTAAAATGTCTGGGTTTTCTGAGACTAGTATTTTATTGCCGTGGAGCTATTTCACAGGTCCGTGAGCTTGTAATAACAAAAATGAAGTGATGTTTCTCCACTGGCGCATAAATAAAATGTTTTCTGGGGCTCAGGTGATGCCCATCTTTCCCCAGAGGAGACAGCACATTCACCTCCATTTTTACAGATTCTCAAGAATCAATGCACCTGTTCTTTAAGAAGCTCAAAAAACTCTGCTAGCTGTAGTACTTGACATATCATTAGCGATCAGAAATCAAACAACTCTTCCTCTCTCTTCTCTGCTCTTTACTCCTTCTCCTCCTCTTCCTTTTTCTTCCCACACTGGCATTAAACATTGGGCTTGACACATGAAAGGCAAGCTCCACCACTAAGCTGTATTCCCAGCCCTTTTACTTTTTATATTTTGAATAAAAAAAATTCTTTTCTACAGCCAGGTGTGGTGGCACTCACCTTTAATCCCAGCACTCAGGAGGTAAAGGTAGATGAATCTCTGTGAGATCAAGGTCAGCCTGGTCTACATAGTGAGTTCCAGGCTAGCTAGGGCTACAGGGAGATCCTGTCTCAAAAAAAAAAAAAAAAAAAGTGTGTGTGTGTGTGTGTGTGTGTGTGTGTGTGTGTAAATGCTACAGCATGTGTATAGAGGTCAGAGACAACTTTTGAGGGTGGGAACTTTCCTTCCACGCTGCGGAAACAGGATAATTCTTGACTTTGCTGCTGCTGCTCTGTGTATTCCAAGCTGGCTGGCCCAGAGCTGTCAACAGAATCCCTTGTCCCGGTCTCCAAACTCCAAGAGTTCTGGGATTACAGATGCACATTACCACATCCAGTCTTTTATGCGAATTTTAAAGCTGGAACTCAGGTTTTCAGGCTTGCATGGCAAGTGCTTTTACCCACTGAACCACCTTCTGGGCCCTATTTTTAATTTTTATCACCAACAAAAATGATCTGATTTTGTCTCTGCCAGCTGCATGTGCTGCAGTAGCATCTTTGCTTGCTTCCTTTCAGGATTACTTAAGTATGGGTTAGAGTATGTTTACATTTAAGAATTGTGCACATTAAAAAATCTTCTACAAGCAAAATCCTTTATAAATACATTTTTTACTTGGTTTCATACATAAATTAATCTACAAAAAACCATACATATCTTAATCTACAAATGCATAAATAACTTAATCTGTCCACCATAAATAAGACTAACACATTAAAAAATCTTCTGCAAGCAAAATCCTTTATAAATACATTTTTTACTTGGTTTCATATATAAATTAATCTACAAAAAAACCATACATATCTTAATCTGCAAATGCATAAATAACTTAATCTGTCCACCATAAATAAGACTATCAACTTTAATAACCTGTAAGCCTATATAAATTTGTATTACAGAAAAGTGCTCTGTTGGATTTTATATATGACATGCAATGCTCACACTGCTTTCACCAATCAAATGCTCATAACAGGCTATTTTTTTTTCATGAATTAAAGAAAAATGTATTTATGCATATAAAATGAAACTCAGATTTAACCTGTTCTTCCCTCCAAATTCTTTATAAACTTCTTCTCTATGCCACTTTAAATTTGAAGTAAACATGTAAAGTATATTTTGAAATGTTTCTTTAATATATTAAGAACGACCTTTCCCCCATTTCCCTCTTCCTCTTTCCTGCTACTTCCTCTGTATCAGGTCTTCTGTTTTCAGATAAGTGGGTTACACATGAAGCCTTAACGTAAATAGTTCACTGCCCCTTTGCCTTCACTTTCTACACAATACCATGTTACACAAGGTTCAGTTAACTCCACTAATGCATAAATCAGTTTGGAATGACATCTGCTCATATTATTATTATTATTATTATTTAAGTGAACAGTTTGGACTCAGACTTATGGACCTTTGAAAGAAAAAAAATCAGTTTAAGTTTTTTACCAGAGGATATTTGTGTTACATGCTTTGGAACTTTCCAGAATCATACTTGTGTCAGAAAGTACATACACTAATTTATTTCCCTTACAAAATTTTTTTTTGTCTTTTTTGAGACAGAGTCTCCCTGTAGCCCCAGCTGGCCTGAAACTCATTATGTAGACCAGGGTGGCCTTGAACTCACAGAGATCCACCTGCCTCTGCCTCCCAAGTGCTGGGACTACAGGCGTGCGCCACCACGCCCGGCTTAAGATCTTTTTTTAAAAAATATTTTTTATTTAATTTTTGCGGTTTTCACATATCTACAATGAACCTCCACATCTAAGGTTCATGGAACATAATGGAACAAGGAGAGGATATTAATTCATCTCTCAATTCTCACTAGTAAAGCTTCCTCATGCAACAGAAGGCCATGAACACCAGTCCATGGACAGGACTCCTATATTAAGCTTCACCTACCCAGGGCTCAGGGACCATTGCACAAGAGGGTTTGGAAAGATTGTAAGAGCCAGGGGAGGAGGTGCATAACCCTAAGGAAACAGAGTCTTACAGGCTCCTGGGACCTTGCTCATATGAACTTACAGCAATGGTGATAGCATGCACAAGACCCACGCAAACCCAATCAGACAAAAACCAGCATAGAACTGGGGAAATGGGCAGGAGTCCACAACTTCGGCAAGGAACTATTGGCAACTGATCACTGCTGGGTGAGGGAGAGTTGATCTTCTTTAAGGGAGTGATGCTAGACAGGTTGACCAGGCTCCAATGGATGAATTCATACCTAGGGATATCTAGGTAAACAAACTTGATTTGATAAGGCTTAACATATATGACAAAATGCACAAAGTCCCGTGGGCGGTGTATGGGAAGTGCAGACCAGGAAGGTGGGGCTAAATATCATAACTGAGTTGTTTTTTTTTTTTTTTTTTTTTTTGGACATTTTGAGACAGGGTCTCCCTGTAGCCCCAGCTGGCCTGGAACTCACTATGTAGACCAGGCTGGCCTTGAACTCACAGAGATCCACCTGCCTCTGCCTCCTGAGTGCTGGGATTAAAGGCGTGTGTCATCATCACGCTCAGCTCATAACAAGTTTTTATTGTCTCTGAATGTAACCTGCCCATAGTAGACCTTTCAGTTTGCTTGGTAAGGAAGCCAGGCCTTCAAATGTATTCAAAAGTCAAAATGACCAAAGCCGAGATTTTTTTCAGGCTCTTACTATATTGCCTTTTTAGCCAACACTAGCCCTGAACTCACAATCCTTCTACTTCAGTGTCCCAAGTAGCTGGGATTTCAAGCATTTACCACAGTGCTTGGCCAAAAGCTGGTATTTATTTAAAATAGAAGAGAAGGTGGCGATTTAAAAATTACTAAATGTTGGAGCTGGAGAGATGGCTCAGTGGCTAAGAGCACTGGCTGTTCTTGAGGAAGACCTGGGTTCAAATCCCAGCAACCACATGGCTGCTAACAACCATTGATAACCCAGTTCCAGGGGATCTGACCCCCTCTTCGGTCCTCTGTGGGCACTGTACAACAGGGGTGCACTTATGTATGTGCAGGCAATATACTCATACACATAAAATTTAAAAAATTACTAAATGTTATTAAAACTTGCCCCACAGCAATATGTTCCAAGAAAAGTGAATGCCTCTACCATTGTTTAAATGTTATCAAATAAGAGTTAAAATTTAAGGAACATTAAAACTGTACTAGCCTTGCCCACCCTCTCCCTCAATCCACCAGAGGAGCAAAGCAGAATCAATATTATTCTGAAGTTTCTAGAATTCCTTTTTGAAATATCACTTCAGTGAGTTAAAACTTTCAGGACAACACTCAAAATCATTTTATAACAGCATTCAAAACTATTTTGGAATGTCATATTTAAAATTCCTGATGCATACTTCATTAGTTTTTGCTTACTGACTGGAAATTCTTACTTCTTCAAATAATATGGTATATCCGTTGAAACACACTACTTACGTAGTAATTAAATAAGCACTAAAGACTTTTTAGGCAAACATTCCAATTACTTTTATGTAATAAAAACAAAAAGGAATTTTGCATCTTGGGTATTTCACTTTATATCTTATTCTTTAGGCAATTTTGTAGGGTATAAAACTTAGAAAGAAAAAGCACTCTTAAAATTCTTTTTTTTAGCCGGGCATGGTGGCACATGCCTTTGATCCCAGCACTCGGGAGGCAGAGGCAGGCAGATCTCTGTGAGTTCAAGGCCAGCCTGGTCTACATAGTGCGTTCCAGGGCAGCTGGGGCTACAGAGAGACCCTGTCTCAAAAAAAGCCAAAAAAAAATTTTTTTTTAAAATGGTTCAAACTATAAGTAATACTAAGCTAAGCCTGACATTACTTTTAAAATCTAAGTTTCTAGAAGTTTTATTTCTGAGTCAGTTAAAAAAAATGATCTGGTTTACACTATTAATGGCTCAAGGACTTCTTTTAAAACTGCTCTCTGTTAAAGAGCACTACAGAAGGGATGTTTTCGGTTCTCTTAACCTTAAAAAGCGAGGTTTTGGAGCACACGGAAACTAAGGTGAGAGCTCAGAAACAGTTTCTGAAATTGTCAGCTTTCAGTCCAGCGCAGCACAAATCCACAGCTATCACGCATAAAAAATTCAAAATTAAATTTAATAATGGAAATTTCAAGTTGTGTCTACCACACATCATCACTGATGTGTTTCACTGCCTCCAACTGGGGCACAGCAGAGGTGCACATCTGGCTGACAGGCCGCTTGGAGAATGAAGTTGTAGGAGCGATAAAAGGAACACAACATGCGATACTAAAGCATCAGGGCCATTAAAAAACCAATGATAAGGCCGAGCATGGTGGTGACGCACGCCTTTAATCCCAGCACTCGGGAGGCAGAGGCAGGCAGATCTCTGTGAGTTCAAGGCCAGCCTGGTCTACATAGTGAGTTCCAGGACAGCTGGGGCTACAGGGAGACCCTGTCTCAAAAAGACCAAAAAAAAAAGCAAAAAAAAGAAAAAACAACAACAACAAAAACCAGTGCTGAGGATCAATGCAAACACATCTGTCAGTTCCCTCTGCAATCCACTTTCCACTGACTTGTACAGAAGGCATGGATTTACAGTTCCCTATAATTCTTCTACACTGTTGCATGCAGTAATGTTATCCTGTGTTGTAGATTGCAGTGCAACCTTCAAGTTCTCTTATGGAGGCTGGCACATCTCAGCAGGGCTTCTCCATAGTCTCTATTTTCAGTGGCCCTTTGTCTGAGCATCCTAAAGCTTGTGGGTTCATTCCTTGTTGCATACACAGGGTTTGCGTGTGTAAACCAGTGTTCAAAATCCTTGAAATCAAATCCTTGAAATCTCACACAGAACATCCCTGGTCTCATCTCACTTAGACTCTCTTTGGTGGCTATGGCCCCAGCAAAGCTGTTGCTAGTCACAGAGGAGTCTCAGCGAGGCAAGAGAAGGGCCTGGCTTGGAGCTGACCCTTCCTTTGTCCTGGGCCATCACAAGGATACCCCACCCACATCAGGCAGGCTCTGCCTTTTGTGCTTCTGCCAGCCCATGGGGTGTCTGATTTGTGTATTTTAAAATTTGAGATAGTCTTGTTGAATTGCTCAGGCTGGCCTCAAATTCATTCTGTAGCCCAATCAAGCCTTGAACTTGCCATTCTCCTGACAGTCTCCTGACTAGCTAGGATTACAGGCTGTAATAAAACTAACATGATCATTTAATTTTTGCTTTGTTTGAGAGTTAAATTTTCCCTTCTTGAATACTGTTTTTTAAATTTAAAAATTATTTATTTTTATTTTATGTGTACGAGTGTTATGCTTGCATGTATGTAGTGCATCCGGGTCATGCAGTGCCGGCAGAGTACAGAAGAGGGCATCAGATCCCCTGGAACTGGAGTTACAGATGGTTGTTAGCTGCCATGTGGGTGCTGGGATTCAAACCTGGGTTTGCTCTTAACCACTGAAGCATCTCTCCAGCCCCTTGAATACTGTTATTGAAGGGCCTGTGGGAGGCAGGAGATACTTATTCTCCACTGCATAAACCTTATTTCCTCTAATTTCCTCACTTTTATAATGAATGACTAGAAGGCCCTGCCGAAAGTACAGAAGTTCCTTGAGTTTCCTGGGTTTAATCAAATGTCTTTGATACATAAATGTGCTGTAGTTAATAGGGAAACTCTATTGCTGAACTACTTACTGTTGGATGTCTAATATCCACGTGATACTCATGCATGAAATGAGGTGAAATGAGGCTAACTAGGCTGCCACGGGGTAGAAACTATTGCAGTGACTGATGCGCATGTTCATTTGTCTATTGGAACATCAGCAAGCAGGTACTCGGTCACCCTCTGCCCTTGCTTTCCTGAATTTCCTGCAGAGCTTGGGAAATGAGGTCTGCCTGGAAGGCTTCTGTGCACACTCAGCTGCTGAATCAAATAATTCATCCTGTGGAATGGAGAGCTATTGTGCTCTGTGTTGAGGTTTTAGGAAAACCACAAACTGTGTTATTAGCTTCTTGTTGTTGTTGTAACAAATTTTCAAAATTTCATTGGCTTAAAATAGCCCAGTTTCCCCTCAAGGCCCCAGAAGCCCTGTGCAAGGGTGACTGGAAGGGGTGAATGGAACCAGGGTATGGAGTCAACCTAAGTGTCCATGGATGAATGCATGGGTAAAGAAAATGTGTAATGGTTAACAATGGAATACCACTTAGTCAAACAAAGAATGAAAATTTGTCATTTGCAGGAACATGCATGACCCAGGAGTACATTATAGTAAATGAAATTAGCCAGAGAATTTTGAACATTCCTTCTTTGAACATTTCTTGAAACTAAAAATGCTCAAGAAATTCCAATGGACTCTCATATGAACATTTGAAAATTGCCCTGTTCTGAACTTTTATCTAGTTCCCTGTCTAGAACTTGTAATGCTAATTACTCTTGCCTTTACTTCTCCTTCACATCTCCTATTCATGATTCAAAGTCTTTCTTTTCCTCCTCGAGATAAGAGTTATGCAATTTGGGAGTCTTTTAGATAGACCCACTGAAGGGGTACTCCAACTGCGTCACTTTGCATCCCTGTTCAGCATGGAAGAAGCCAGAGCGGTCTGTGTCCCTATTCCCTATTGGCAATTTGAGTAACCCCTTCAGAGGATGGCGTGATAAGAATAGGAGGTAGGAATTGGCTAGGCAGTTAGGGTAAAAAGGCCCCAAAGAAAAGTAGCCAGTTTCTTGCCTAAAAGTCAAAGTGTCCTTGGGCCTGTTAGCAACATACTCTGTTCCAAAGGCCAAAAATGTCAAAAGTATTCGGAAGCTTGTATCTAATCCTTAAAAGATTTTAGGTTTACCTCTTCGGGGAGGTGGGGGAGTGTTAGAGTACCCAAAAGCTGCATAAAAATAAATAAATGAAAGAAGAAAAAAAAAGAAAAAAGTGATGGGGAGATATAGGAGGTGTTAGAGAGGAGGGAGTGGGCATGGATTTGATCAAAACACCTTATATACATGCATGAAATTCTCAATAAAGTTTTTGTAAAAGTTAAAAAGAATGCTGATGTAGAAATAAAAAAAATAACGGTGGCCAGAGGCTTGGGAGGAGAGAGGCATGGGAAAATGTGTTATTTATCTTTCCAGTACTGTGACAAAATACCCATGAAAGTCAAGTGAAAGATTTATCTTGGGCTATGGTTTTAGAGGGCCTAGATCATCAACAGTTGGGCCTGTTGCTTTGGGACTGTGCGGTGGAGGCCTAGCATGGTGGAGAGCACATCGCTGGACAATATGCTCACCTCATTGTAGCATGAAGTGATCATGGTCTTAATGACCTCTACCTTTCTTCCTTTAGGTCCAACCTCCAGTGGATGCTAACACGTCCCAATAGCAGCACTGACAGAGAATCAAGGCTTCAACACACAGGTCTTTCAGTGGTCATCAATATCCTAACTACAGCAGGAGCATAAGAAAAGGTTGGTATGTGGCTACGAGAATACGACCATTCTCTCTCTCTACTTCCCACTATGTTTCATAAGCTTTAGGTGTAGAGGTTCCATTGTATATGTGTCACTTAGAGCCGGGCATCTCTCCGACACTTATTCTCTGTGTGTGACCAGTTGTGGAACTCTGTAATAGCCTCCATCTATTGCAAAAAGAAGCTTCTTTGATGAGTGGTGAATGTTATACTTCTCTGTAAATATAAGGATCTATGTTTAACATACAGTAAGAAATTGATTACATTTGTCTAGGGATATGACAGATGTAGGTTAATCTCCAGGATCTATGACCTCTCCAGCCATGTGTATTTGACTGTGTTTACAGTACCACACATGAGTTCCCTCCCATTGAGAGGGCTTTAAACTCAATTAGATAGCTATTGATTATTCCCTAGATAAAAGTGCCACTAACTGCACCACTATGATTTGTTGTGCTGGTCACAGTTGTGGTTATTAGGCTTTAAAGCTGGGGTAGAGCCAGAGTTGGTGCATGGTCATAAGGAAACAGAGTCTTTCAGGTCTCTGGGAACTTGCTCATATGAGTTTACAGCAATGGTGAAAGCATGCACAAGATCCATGCTGACTTAATCAGACAAAAACCCAGCGTAGATCTGGGGAAATGGGCAGCAGATCCCAACCTTAGCTGAGGAACTATTGGCAGCTGATCACTGCTGGGTGAGAGAGAGTTGATCTTCTGTAAGGAAGTGACTCTAGATAGGCTGACTAGATTCCAGGGAATGAATTTGCACTGAGGGACATCTGGGTACACAAACTTGACTTGATAGGCCTTAACATACATGACAGAATGCATGAAATCTGGTGGTGGTGGTGGGGCTATGTGGGGTATGGATGGGGGAGGGGAATATAGATGATTAAGATATTTTATGAAGTACACAAAAATTCGATAAAAGTATACATTAAGAAAAGAAAATATGCGAGTGAAAAACTACAGCTGGAGGATGGTTAAGCTCTAGTGACGCACAGCGCAGAAGGTGGCAGTAGTTGATAACTTACTGTATATTTCTCCCTAGTTTGCTTCTCTATTGCTATAATAAACACCCTGACCCAGAGCAACTTGGGAGAGGAAAGAGTTTATTTGGCTTATAGGTGACAGCCCATCATTGAGGGAAGGCAAGGGAGGAACCTGGAGGCAGGAACTGAAGCAGAGACCATGGAGGAATGTTGCTTACTGGCTTGCTTCCCGTTTTGCTCAGCTACTTTGCTTATACAGCTCAGGCCCACCGGCCCAGGGATGGCACCGCCCACAGTGGACTGGGTCCTCCTACATCAATCAGCAATTAAGAAAATGCCTCAGAGACATGGCCAAAGGCCTTTCAGAAGGAGGGAATTCTTCAGCTGAGGTTTCTTGTCCCCAGGCAACTCTAGCTTGTGTCAAGTTGACAGAAACTAACCAGCACAATTTGCAAATGGCTAGAAGGGAGAATTTTGTTTTATTTTTGCTTTGTCTTTTGAGACAGGATCTATGTAACCCTGGGTCACCTAGAATTTACTTTGCAAACCAGGCTGGCCTTGAATTCATAGAGATCTACCTGTCTCTGGCTCCCAAGTGCTGGGATTAAAAGCATGAGTCACCATGCCCAAAAAGAGGACCGTGAATGTGCCGACACAAATCAATGATACACATTTAGGGTGTTGGGCATGCTAGTTACTATGATTTGGTCACTGGGCATTGGATACACATGAAGAAATAAATCTTGTCACTCCATGAATATGTATGATTATTATGAGACAGTTAAAACAACAGAATTTATTTTCTTCTAGGTCTGGAGGCCAAAAGTCCAAAATTAGAGCAAAATTAGAATTTGTCATGATAATGAGTCTATGTAAATATTGCAGAATACTAGTCACATCTGACAATTGTTAATTTAGTCACAACACTCAAGTCACCTTTGTCATGCAAGATGACATATTCACAGATTCTGGGAGTCATGATGCGGCCATCTTTAGGGATCATTATTCTGACAGCATAGGGAATGACTACCCTCTCCCTTCTTGGAGACACATGGACAGCATGGAGAAGAGGCAGTTCTTCTCCAGCAGGGAAATCCAAATTCACCATGACAACAAATGAGTTATAGTAACTTGAAGATGTGGGGACATAGTGGTGCACAGAGACCAGCATGTGCCTGCACTGACTTATGATCCTGGTTTGCTGCTCAGCTCTCCTTAACCTCTTTGCTGACTCTCTTTTTCCCCAGACCTTCCATGGAAACTGGTATGGATCAGTTCCTCGCATTTTTCCTGAAGAATGCAAAAGGGATGAATTTTCAGCAATTGGCTACAGAGTTTCTGCCTCACTACTCCTCATTAGTCAGTAAGGCCGGAGGCATCCTCTCTCCAGAAACCCTCAGTAATATTCAAAAAGCTCTCCAGGATGGGAAGCTAAAGGATGTGGTGGACCAAATTCACGAAGCCCTCACTGCTGCAGAAGATGCTCCACTGGAGGTGGCTGTGATCGGGGAGTCTGGGACTGGCAAGTCCAGTTTCATCAATGCTCTTCGAGGGCTGAGTCACGAAGCCCAGGAGTCGGCTAAGGTTGGGGTTGTGGAAACCACCATGGATAAAACCCCCTATCAACATCCAAAATACCCCAAAGTGACCTTCTGGGACCTGCCTGGAACTGGGACTCCCAATTTCCTCCCAGACACTTACCTAGAAAGAGTGGGATTTGCTAACTATGACTTCTTTATCATAATTTCTTCTTCTCGGTTCAGCTTCAATGATGCTGTTCTGGCAGAGAAAATCAAGGATGTGGGGAAGAAGTTCTATTTTGTTAGAACCAAGGTGGACAGTGATTTATATAATGAAGAGAAAACCAAACCCACATTCTTCAAAAAGGAGAGAGTCCTTCAGCAGATCCAAGACTACTGCCTGGCTAATCTCAGTGAGATTGGGGTTTCTGAGCCACGTGTGTTCTTGGTCTCCAACTTTGATGTGAATGCTTTTGATTTCCCAAGACTGGAGGAGATTCTGCTGAAGGAGCTCCCTGCACACAAGCGCCATGCGTTTGCTCTGCTTTTGCCCAATTTCTCTGATGCTGCTATTGATATGAAGAGAGATTTCCTTAGGGAGAAGATCTGGCTCGATGCCATGAAGTCAGCAGCTTTGTCTTTTGTCCCCTTTATGACCTTCTTCAGTGGTTTTGATTTGCCTAAACAAGAAGCATGCCTGAAGGATTACCGAAAATATTTTGGCTTGGATGATAAGTCGATAGAAGAGACTGCTGAGAAGCTGGGCACATCTGTCCAGGACATCAGGGCCTACATCAAGTGCTGGGATTTCTGGTCCTTTGTAAAGGATGACAGCATACCAGCAAAAGTCACGCACTGTGTTGAGTCCTTCTGTGCTGTGAAAGGAGGTCCCACAGCCTCAGTCATCCAGGGTCTGAAAGTCTACTTCCTACGCTTAAAATTCCTCAACACAGTGGTGGATGATGCAAAACTTCTTCTGCGTAAGATAGAAACAGCAAATCTTGCCTAACTGAACAGTAAGCAGACCTCAAGTTGTGTGTGTTCAGTTTGGGAATGGGGGTCTCCTCCTCCAAACTCCCAGGCCACCTCTTCCTTTAGAAGAATGTCTGTTCTGTGAAGGAAGACCATTGTTTTGCTTTAGAGGTCTTTACCACGTGTGAATTTTTTGGCCATAGTCTGTTTTTCTGCATTTATTGACCTATTGTGCTTGATTTCCAGCAATAACACACCATCTGATTTCAATTATTCTCTGTGGTATGAGGTAACATGTTTCTATAGTATGTACTCAAATAAATAGTTTGTCATGACAAAATGAGAAATAGATGTCATTTCACAATCTTTTTCTTGGTTATTGTTCTAGTTAGCTTCCCTATCGCTGTGCTAAAAAAACAACTTGGAGAGGAAAGGGGTTATTTGACTTACAGCACAGTCCATCATCAAGGGAAGCCAAGGCAGAACTCAGGGCAGGAACCTGGAGCACAGGCCATGGATGAACGCTGCTTACTGGCTTGCTGCCCTGGTCCATGCTCAGCCTACTTTCTTATACAATACAGGACCACCTGTCCAGGAGTGGCACTGTCCACAGTAGGCTGGACCCTCCCATATCACTCAACAATCAAGAAAATGCCCCACAGACATGGCCACAGACCAGTCTAATGGAGACAGTTCCTCAACTGAGGCTTCCTCTAACCAGGTGTGTCAAGCTGACAACTGAAGCTATTCAGCACAGTTACCATCTCAAAACCTTCCTTACCAAAACAAAGGATAGTTTACAGATATGAGAGCATCACTGAAGGCACGGGGAAAGGTTTATAGTGGGGGAATGCAGCATGACCAGGAGTAGAGAAAGGATCACAGAAATGACCTTAGATGTCGTATTTCTGGGAATTCCTGTGTTCACAGGTTAAGAACCCAGTAGACAAGACCAGCAAGTGGCAGGAAGTGTGACAGAGCGAATGGGAATTAGCAGAGCCTTGAAAGCAAAGGTAAAGCAAACCGCTGTGAGGACAAACATGTTTTTGGCCTTGCTGAAATCCTTTACTTCAAACTGTGAAGGTAGATACGGCAGAAATGACAGAACCTGCCTTTGTTGCTGGGTCACTTGTTTCTACTGTTACAGTAATTGTACATGTGACATTTCCTTTCTTTTTTGTCCCCTCTCTGCTATGGGGTAGACATCGTCCCCGCTCTTCAGGCTTGGAAAGTAATGGGAGAGCAGAACAAGTTCAGGACACCGGAGTCACCTCAAACAAGGCCTTTTAGGAGTTTGTCTTTTCCTCAAGTGAGGCAGGAGAGTGAGGCAGGTTGTGTAGAGGAATGGCCTGGTATATCTCCCCAGGAGAGGATCACTGATTTCTGTTTTCAGCTTGACTGGAGAAACCAAAGCCCAGGGGTCATCTCTCTGAAATCATCCCAGGTGAGATCCTGGTGGGTGGAACCCAGAAGGCAGTGATGGAAATGGGAGAAGTGTCTGCCTTGGGGATGAACATGGGATACCAAGAAACAGTGACGGCGGTGTGACTGGTGAGAGGAAGGACTATGAGGGTGACCCCTGTGTAACTGGGAGAGTGGCAGCACCATGACCCAGCCTGGAGAGGACTGGAGGAGCCAAAGTGAGGAGGGGGATCTGGGGTCATGCTCAGCCATGTTCATATAGGCAAGATCTTTCTTGTCATAACAACAGATGTTGCACAGACCATATACTTAAGTCTGCAGTTAGGGAAGAAGCCTGGGTGATATAGGATAAGCTGGGAAAACCAAGTGGGTAAGTGCAAACATCTGGAACAGAGTCCGGACTGGGTCCGCAGACACTCCAACTTTTAGGTCTCGCCGTGGGGAGAGAAATGGGGCTCAGGCTCATCTACTTTTTGCTTTTATTTATTTTTTAAATTTTTATTTATTATATTTATTTTATGTGTATGTGTGAATTGCCTGCATGTAGGTAAGTGCACCCATGTTGTGCAATGCCTG